CCTTAAACATTTGCACTTAGAATTTTATAGAATCACTTTAAATACTTTTCAGTAAGTTATACAATGTACAATTCTGGTTCAAATAAAGAACTTCTTGTTTACTAGACTGTTAACTAATTATTTTCGAGTTAATGTTGCCTTAATGAACAGTGATTTTAAAAAAATAACCTGTAAAACCCTGATGTTAAATGCGGCGTAGTTGAAAATTTGGGTGCACCTAACTTTTGTGCTGGAGCACCTAAGAAAAAATGTTAGGTGCACCGGTGCAAAAAAAGTTAGTCTAGAGCCCTGTGAGATACTACAAATCACTAGAGACTGAGGAAACAGGGATCCATTGATCTTACCAGTGTTTGTTACAGAATTAGCAAAGTTTTCTGAGGCACAAGAAAAGATCTTATGACTATTAGAGTCTAGCAGCAGACTGACAAATTAGCCAGTGGAGAAAACTAAAATGGGTGTTTAACATTATTTGAAAAAAGTGAAACATTGTTCTGGGATGTTGTATTTCTCAAATAAACTTGTTGTAAAATTAAATCTACAACATAGCCTCTATTTTTGCTTATTTTGGGTTATTGTTACAACTCACCCCAGCATGTGTTCCAACCTACCCCACTACTGGGGTAGGTTGTAACAAAGAGCCTTTGTGTTTTTGACATGAAGTCACAAAGTCTATGATGTACTTACAGAATTCTCAATCAGTACCATTTGTAGTAAACATGTGTGAGTATTTTGTAAAACAGTTTGAGAACTCAATCTCCCAAAATCAAGGAGTTACATATGGTGAAGCAAAAGTTATTACAACCATACCCAGTCTACACTAATAATAATGAAATTTAGCTGTTGAGCTAATTCTGGGGCATTTGTATTCATAGAATATTGATTCATGTGCACTGGCCTTTTGAATAAATAAATGAAAATAAATAATCATTGAGTATATCTACAGGTCATGAACGTTTGAAGCCAACAAGCCAAGGTAATTCAAAATGGCCACAATACCCAACTGACTTCGAAAAACAGACATCGATGTAAGTCAGTCAGTTTGAAAAATATTATGCTGACATTTAGAGTGACTGTAGCTGAAACCCTTCACAACACACCTACATTAGCAAAATATCTTGGAAATCATTTCATATAATATCCTTTAGCTGTGAAAGCAACATGTTGGATGACCTCACATGGAGGTGGAGCTGTTCGGCGTGCTCCCAGCTGGTGACACTGTACATGTAAATGTGCATTTTAAAGCAACAAAGATAAATGTGAAACAGAGAGAGCAGACACCAGCTGATTTAGAAAACCAGACAAAGTGAAAGTGACAGTGGCGTGAGCTGCAGTGGTGATTAAACAGCTCTGACAGATACAATTACCCCCCTCCCCACAGAGGTTAATAGACACATCTACACACCAGAATGTGTGATCACCAGGTTAGGGTCCGCAGACCACAGCACCTCATGAATCCACTTGCCTTCAGCAAGCTGAGAACAGACAATAGCTGGGTGCTAATTACTGTCAGTCAAGAAGGATTTTAGTCACTGTTTTTGTTTTATCTTGATCTCATTTATATGGGAATTATCTCTGTATACGTTACAGATTTTCTGATGTTCATTGTAAAAAAAAGTTACACATTTACACTATAATGCTGTACTTGCTTAATCCACTGTAGTTTCCATGCCAGGCCTCTATGGCGCTGTGTATTTTTGTATTTCAACGACATTTGTGCAGACAATTCAATCTCAAGTATGAAAACAGTTACATCCAAAATAGTGAATAAACAAATGTTTGTTTAGACAAAAGTTGGTTTGCTTCTTCGCCTTAAAAAAAGGTGATAGTTTCACGAAATCACGGAAACTGAAACGTGGCGTAAGGTTAAATCCAGAAAACGGTCTACGCACAAAAAAATCCAGATGTATCAAAACGTGCGTACGCCTGAATCCACGCACATTTCTTCTGTACATCACAATTAACGTGGAACTGAACGCATGTGAGACACCTCCCCTGACACGCCTTCATTAACATATGTTAAACAGATACAAATTACTTCCTGCATGTGTGAAGGACACGTTTGTTTGATCCCTGCGTGATCAGAAATGATTTCTAGAGTCAGGAAAATAATGAATTTAATA